TCAGACATGGACTTAAAATCTAATTCTTACTTGTTACATACAAAAAAAAATGTTCTGGGAGAATTTTTGAATTGAACTGCCGCGCACGACAAGTTTGGCGGGTATTTTTTTGTTTAGAAGTTATTGATTATAGAAGCGGCCAAGGCGAAGACTGATGTTTCCTCCACATGTTGGAAATTGCATGTTTGACCGCTCGCTATCCGTTCACTTCTTACACTACTGCACTAAATCTCTTTTGTGACACTTTCAAAAAATAAATTTTACGACGCATAATAAATTAAAAAAAGCTAATATTCTAAAATAATTTTGAAAAAAAAAAAAAAAGTCGAGCTTCCCTTTAGAGGGAAGCTCGACTTTGATAAATTTTGGCAAGTTCTTACATGTGACCTACATACCGTAGAATACCGTGCATTCGTCCATTCCGCACTGAGCGCCGATCCCCAAAATTTGAAACACCTGAAAAAAAAAATATGCAGAGCACATATATATGTAAAATTGACGGCTTCACATCCGCCCATCCCCTACTCTTCCGCGATTATCTTCAAATTTTGAGTGTACGCTTGCTCGATATTTTATGGTAAGGTATTTTAAGAAACTCAATATCACCAAAAAGCTCGAACCTAGCTCTTTTAGTGCATATAAATTCCATATTACATGCACTAAATAAAATCCGTTATCCACAGGGTGTCCTACAAAAAAAACATTCAGAGGGTTTTTATCACGGCAAGAACTAACTTCACATTCTCGAACGCTCATTTTCCGCCTAAATGTAGCGCTAGTGGTGCGAACCAGATGCCAAAGTTTGTGGGCGGTGGACACGACACACGCTCTAGGTTAACGGTTTCTTAACCCAACATGATGTTTGCGCGGCAAGCCTCTTGTCAGTGTCCAGGCGGTCGGCGGGTGGCGCCCAAAAGCTTTCCTGGGTCGGCTTCCCGATGGTCTGGCGGTGCACAAACGTTGTTCATCGGAAGCTGTGGTTCCGAGCAAGTTGCTGCGTTCGTTTTTACGGGCACTGTCATCCAGCAAAGGGGGGGTGGGAGGGGGTGGCACAGCTCCGGGCAGGTCGCCAGCTTGTGGCGGCGACCAAAGCCTTGCGGTCCAGAAGTCAGGCAGTCGTTGTCGTTCGTCCCATGCAGCCGAGAGCCTGCATGGGACGGGATTTTTTACCTAGTCTAGGGGTTTTGTCTTAAAATATGTACAACCATTACCAGCTAATTTGAGCCCTAATTTTTTGTTAATTGAAACAGGAACATCCATTCGCTTCTTCAATTTCTATCGTATTGATCAGACAAATCAATCTCCAAGCGTCGCTACCTTCCTAGCAGACGTCCTCGTTAACCTGTGACTTGAAAGAGGGGGCCTGCTTAACGTTTATGCCCTGAAATTATTTTTTTTTAATTCACAAAAATAAACCAGTCAAGCTGCAAAGACTTTTTTTTTTCTTTTGTGATGTGTTGCACAAAAGCATGTACAAATTACTGCACCGCAGCTCAGAAGCGCAATATCAAATAATAAAAGGCTAGAGGATGTGAACTGGGCAGCGCTGGCACCGTGTGAAGCGGGCGAGAGCAGGTGGTGACTAGACAGAACATCCCTGCCGCGAGCCATACCACAATTTTTCGGCCACACGGATTGGTGTCACCACCTAGGGGTCAAATTCTAGGATGTGCAGAAAAACATTGCGCTTTATATCAGGCATATTCCAGGGTCATCGATTTATAAAGCTTTTTTTTCTGTTTTTAATAATTTGTTTATGCTTTCTGCTGTATCAAGGTGCCTCCATGCGCCACCATCAATGCACCTGCGCGCATATTTCTGCCAAACTGCGCCAAAGAGCTTACCCTGCTACATCCTGCTACATCTTACCAAAAATGTGCGGAATTTGTGCAAACATTGCGCCAAAACCTATTTTCACCTTATTACTACTGACAATATAATAAATTGGACCCCGTTACATGGCCGGATTGTTACGCTAGGCTAGTGCGAATTTCCCAAACTTTCGTTTATCGCCTTAAAGAACATCATGATATTGAATTTGATTTCTGTATCAAACATTGACAGTACTCGGAAGTTTTGCAATATTTCTCATGCTTGTTGTCTGTTCTGACTGGAAAGCTAACATCTTTGAGTGTGCTTGCAAGCACGTAGTAGGCGTTGCAATTTTGCATACTTTGCTTTGCCGCAGTGCACTTGCGTGCTAAGGGGAAAGCGCTCCCCCAAAACCGGAGGTTACGTGTGGTTTTTAAAAAGAAACTGTGGCTGGTATAGACCTTTTTCGTGTACTCTCATCCCCAGCTGCCTAAATGGATATCCGGCATGAGTGACGAAAAAATAATAAAATGTTTCACTCTGCAATCGGTAAAAAAAATAGAGGGGAAGCAAAACGAGGATGTGTGAGGGTAACGCCGGCAAAACAAATTTTTTGCTCATACTGGAAGTGACGACAATTCAAGATGGCAGCGCCCTTGTGAAAGAGGTCTATATATGATAGTGATATTCTAACAATATCTTTTTCACTTTAAAGATTCATCAAGGATACTTGAGTATTTCAAGAAAACTTTTATGAACTGCTCCTAATGTTTATTTTTCGTGCCAACTCTCGTTTAGTTATTACCTTTAAATATGTAGGTTCCACTTATGTGATGGCACAGTTAATACGATAAATAAAACTTAATTAACTGGAGCAGTAAATGCAAACATAGGATTTTTTAAATAAAGCTTTTTTATCTTTTTCATGCTGACTTATTTTTTTCATGAAGTTCTGCTTATAAAATGCCATTGGTGTTCATAGTGAAATGACAAAAGCTTTGTATTGCATCTACATTAAGAATAGCAGTTTTATTAGAACCTCTAGAACTTGAAGAAAACATCAATTTGGGTGATCAAATCTATATATTCCAGCATCATTTCAGTAGACAAAACAATTTGGTTTACGTTTGATTTTGTGCCTAAAATAATCTTGCACAGCAGTTTTTACTGTCCTTCATTAGTCAGCATCTTGTTACTGTGCTTTGTGCAAAGTGTCCCCCCCCCCCCTTCCCCCCCCCCTTCCCCCCCCCCAAAAAAAAAAATTACAAGGTTTTTTTACTGCAAAAACAAACTATGCATCAGAGAACGCTCATTCTCTGCCTAAATGTTGCCCTAGTGGTCTGTACAATGGGCCAAATCTTCAAAGTATGCACAATTAGCGCGACTGTGTGCTATGTTCAACCAACTAGGCCATCAAATTATTTTGCCAAATCTTCAAAACTAAGCATTATCTCTGTCAAAAGCTATAGGTGATTTTCTTAAATTTTCAGTGGGAAAATGGGGCCCGTTTTCGCTGTTTTTCCATAACCGACGCCAATCAACTCCAGAGATCCATCGGCTGCCAATTTTTCCATTGAAAATTTTCAGAAAATTGTTTATAACTTTTAATTAAGATAACGGTTAGTCCTGAAACTTTTGCATTTGGTTTGGACCGCTAGGGGGGTACATTTAGGCGTAGAACATAGTTTACACTGATGCATAGTTTACTTTTGTGGTGAACAAACTGTGTACATCTTTTGAGGGGACAGCCTGTACTTCTTCGCTCAATTAAAGTGCTTGCTAGAGAATCAAACCTGCCACGCTGTTTATGCCATCAGAAGGTTGCACAGAAGCAGAAAGGAAAAATAGAGACAAGAACATAAATCTTAACACAACATTAGGACTGGTATGAGTAAAATTAAAATGTGTGTTTATGCTCCAAAAGTACTTTTTGCTGCTTCAAAATGAACTTTTGACTGCTCCAAAAGGTGCTTCAAAATCACCCGAACCAATCGCGTCCCTACGACGTATTACTCGGTTTGATCTCTGTGTTAACCACTGTACTCAAAAGTCTATCTAGCGATATTTCTTACGTTCGTGGTCTGTTCTGGCGGGTCAATGTGGCTTCGTCCAGTGCGCTTGTCGCCGTGCTTTGTTGCGTTGCGGTGAAGCAAAAACTGCAGCGCATCGTGAATTTGCGTATCTTACTTTGCTGCAGCACACCCTTATTGTAAGGGGAAAGCACTCCTCCAAAGCGGGATGTTGTGTGGAATATATATATATATATAAAAAAAGAAAAGCTCAATGAGTGTTGATTTATCAACTCTACCTTTCATTAAAAATATAAAAATAAAACAGTGGTTAGTACATATGCTAGACAGCGATATTCTGATGATTTGTTGTATGTTCATAATTTAACAAGCTTGGCTTTGTAAAAAGGCTTATAGACCAACACGCGGCCCTGACGTCACGAAGCTGTGGCGGCGCTGCCGACGGCACTGCACATGCGCAAACGCTTCACTCCTCCCGAATTCAGTTTCTGCGCACGCGCAGTGCCCACACCTGGTGTGGGCAAACGCGGGCTTGTTTGTAAACAGGGTGTCAGTCTATAGGAACTGTTCTGTAGGCTTATTTTTTATGCCAACTCTTTTTAGTTATCTTTTTATAGGGTTCATCTGCGCAATGACATTGTGAATATAGTGTAAATTAGAACTAAATTAGTTGAGGCTATTGGTGGAAGCTTTTTAATAGCTTTAGTGAGTTCACATGGCAGTTTTTTTTTATTATTAAGTTCTAAATATAAAATGACATTTATGTTCATAATCAAGTGATGGAAGGTTTGTTTTTATCTTACTTAATAATTGCTGTTTTGTAGTGACCTTTATAATCTGAATCTATAGCATCAGTTTGGATGCTTAATATTCTAACATTATTTTCATGGAATATATGAATTGGTTTACGACTCCATACCTAAAAGAACCATTCACAGCAGTGCATACTGTCGTTCATCAGTTAGCATGTTGCTGTGCCTGGTGTCTTCATTCAGAACTAACCAGCTAGTCCTGTTTCTTGAGGGGATCAAATCTGCCGTGCTATTGATGCTAATCAAAGGTTGCACAGAAGCTAGAAAGCAATGTAGACAATGTCTTTTAGTCAAACAGGCCATCATGTGAATCTTATATCATGTACTCTGCTTATTTCCTGCTCAGTGTACGTGTACATGGGCAACTATCTGGACGTCCAGACCCTGCTGATCATGATGCGCATGAAGGGCCTGACAGAGAAAGGGGAGTACCTGGTCATCATGATCGACCATGACATGCAGTCTTGGGAGGACTTCAACGTCCACTTCTTTGGTGCGTGGGGGCCGCTTCTTCTGCCCGATGCACGCCCACGGCCTTGTACCATACGATGGATCGAATTTGTAACGTATTGACTCGCTATTTCAATGCTAGTGCTTGCAGGCTCATCTAGAGCATGATCATTGCTTAATATAGAGGAGCTTTGCTCTTTACTCAGAAATAGAACCAAACATACTTGAAAGTGATAGGGAGTCACTAATTGGAGTGTAAGGTAAAAATCCCTTTATAAACAAACAGATTATGATGTCTTTCAGATATGGATGTAAAAAATTTACATCCTTCATAGTGTGGTTTCTTGACTCGGTTGCAATATCTCCTTTGTTTTCTTCTTTTGTGCAGAGCCTGCCAGTCTACAAAAATTGGTTTCATTTAAGCGTTATTGAAAGCAGATCAACACATCGGTACATCTTGCTTGTTTCATTTGTTAATATGTAAAATCTTGTAAGAGTGGCCTTTTATTTTTGAAGAGATCAATGGGGAAAAATATCGGATGGGGGATCGTCAAGGATGAGACAGCAAATTTTGATTGAAAATGAACGGTAAGCACCTGGGCACTGGCTATGAACTGCATGACACGGAAATAAATGTCATAGATTGTGTATAAGCCAAATTCGCATTTCACGGTGCGTCAAACACGTGGGAACTCGCTGCCAACTTCACCCCGTCAGGTCGTAGGAACTGATACTGCAGATTGCAGATGCAGCAGATTCTTCATGGTGCAATAAACACCATGCTTCCCCCCCTACCCATCCTCTATCGAGTTTAATAATAATAGTGAGTTTATTTTCATTTCTGATTTACATTATACCTTCTATTCTTTATCACAAAAGCATTTTGGTGCTTATGAGAATGCAGTATTCGGTGATAACCGAGTTTGGCATCTTTGTGGCCAGGCAAGGGAGACAGCAAGGACATCAATGCATTGACGGACGCCTGTCGCCAGCTGATGGTGATCCTGCCCAGAGCGCCCGGGGGTGACTCCTATTCCCTGTTCACCGACAAGGTCCGCGAGTTCAACGAGAAGGAGCCGTTCAACTTCCCACAGGGGCTGAGCACCTTCAAGAAGGTGAGCTTGGCAGGGGGCTCCTTTAACAACACTGACCTGTGGGTTCTCAGAATTTTAAACCTTGAGAAACCCCTCTCTCCCTTCAGTGATATCCAAGAAACCCCACATGGACAGATTTAAAGAGGGAAAAGCAGACAAAACAAACCCCCCCGCCCCTGAACCCCCCATTTCAACCTTTTTTATGTAAAAAAAAAGAAAATGACATATACTATAGTAATCTGTAAAGTTGAGCTCCTTGGTATGTGACAACATATTAAACCAGCAGAACGTAAGGGCGCAAGTGAGCTGGTGTATATCAAACAATTTAATGAAAAACCCGAAACTGAGGTATTGACAAACCAAGAGGAGACGTTTCCCTTCTCTTCCTTGTCGTCATCTGTCAATACCTCAGTCTCGGGTCTTTCACTGAAATATTAAACCAGCTGAAGCAGAAAAGAAAGTAATACATTTTTTTTTTCTTCTGCTTTTTTAGGGTTTTTCTTTGCTGTTTTTTCTTCTTCCTCTTCCTTTTCTAGCACAGCTCAATCATGTCTTACTAGTTTTCCTCTTCTAATCGTGTGTGTGTTTCATTCAACCTGGGTCTCATTTCTGATATATATACCCAACTGGTATATCGCAATATACCAGTTGGGAGTCAGCGCTCTGCCCTTTGTGTTCTCCTCTTCGCTTGTGCGCCATTTTAATATGTTGTCTACATACAGCAGCTTTTTTGGGAAGAAATGTTTAGTTTTTGTTACATACCAAATATCAGGTCAACAAAATAGATGTGGGGAACGCTTTGCTCGTGACGTCCCCTCTCTGCAAACCCTCACCCTCTCCCCTATGGTTTGACCCATAAATAGGAGCTGCTGGAAAACGATAATGAAGTTACTAGGAAGTGTTTGGCTCAAAGCTGTGCAGCGATGATTGGCTTTGATCTGCTAAAATAGTGCTCAATCTAGGAAATATGCTTCACTTAGGGGCAGGGACGATTCAGAAAATCTGAGAGCTTGTGGAACTTATGAGGGTATTCTGGCAAACACCTGTGTTCCAAGGAACCTCATTTGAGAACATCTGGTTTCAAGGAACACCGAATTCCTCAAAACACTTATTATAAATGTCTGGGGAGGAAACACACGTCACAAAATGAGTGTGTGCCGAAAAAGAAAGGCATTTTGAAAAAAATATTTATGCCGCAAGACACATTAGGAATTGGGGTTCCAAAACATGCTTCTACTGCAAGGACGACATTTCAAAATAGAATTGTTTTGGAATCAAAATGATAATAAGTGTTTCAGAATCGATGGTAAGTCTCCCAACTTAAATAAGTTTTTAGCTGGAAGTTTTTTTGTTTTTTTTTCTGGGGAAAGTTCAGTTTGAAACATATGTCCTATCCAGGTAGTTATGACAAAGATTTTTGGGAATTCAGCTACCTTTTAAAGGGACACTTACAGGGTATTTATGGCGGCCAAGGTTTTTATTTGTACATGACATAGGAGAGCCCAACTACCCGAAACACAATTTGTGGCTAAAAATTTGTTTTCTATCTACCCAAAAACCGCCGATTGAGAACTGGCCGATTTGAGTCACACTCTTTCTCTTGTCTTTGGACATGTGCCATTTTCTATGGTTTAGACTCAACCGCCAAAGATAATCAAAGTTGTGGGTCATAGAAGGCACACACTTAAAACTAAATATAGACAAAAAATATGATACCCATTTTTGTGGCCTCTAAAAAGCTGCAAATATGTTAACTGAAGAAAAGAAAAAGTTGCACAGTCACGTGATTTCAGGTAACTATCTCCTTCTCTACATTTCTTCTTCCTCCCCAGTCCAGTTTCGTTTTCGGTTTTGAGCAGCTGCATATTTTGATTTAATTAAAAATATAGTATGTGATGCTGTAGTAAAATATTTATTGGGTAGTCTTCAGACAGCCATAATGAATTGCCTGTCAAAAAATAAAAAAAGATTTCTTTTTTTTTGGGGGGGGGGGGGTGTCAATGTCCTTTTAAAGGCTGCAGCCAGAAAGGAGCCAACTAACCTTAGCTTCCTTCTTTCCGTTCAGTAAAGGGGAGACCCTCCTTGCGGGGAGTGGCGCAGAGACCCGCGATTTTGGGGGAGAGAAGAGAAAAGGAAATTGGGAACCCGTTTTTTGTTTTTGTTTTATCCTTTTTTATTGCGCAGCACATCACGGTGTTTGCGTCATACCTGTACGACTCGGTGATGCTGTATGCGGACGCGGTGACGAAGCTGATCCACAAGAACCACAGCATCACGGACGGACGTGCTGTCATCCGGGAGATCATAGGCAGGAAGCGCTACAGCAGTGAGTGTCCTCTTCTCCTGCTCCTTAGCATCATCATCTCTCTTTTCTGTGTCCATGAACAGCTAATTCCCTGGATTACAATGCACAAAAAAGCACTATCGTAAAATCCCATAAGGACGCCCTCCCCCAAAAGATTGCCCATCCTGTTTTTCTGGGTAAATATCCGTACCATAAAAATTCAAAAAGATGCCCCCCCCCCCCCCCCGATTTCTTGTTGGACGTCGCGCGATGCTCGTGGGTAATCGCATTAACCGCTCAATCTGCGGTACTGGTACATCTCCACGATCTGCAGTATCCGTTCCCATGACACTCGAGCTTGTAGCGGGTTCTTGCATGTTTATAGCACCATGAATCTTGAATATGCTGCGTCCATTATCTGCGGTATCCGTTTCCATGAGATGCGAATTTGCGGTGGGTTCTTGCGCACGTTTATCGCATTGTGAAACGCAGATCTGCCGTGTCCACGATCTGCGGTATCGGTTCCCATGTCACATGGTTTGTAGTGCGGTGCCCCTGTGTTTATCGCTATAGTTTTTAATAGAGTTTTGCTGTCGCATCCCCAAAGGTACTCACCTTGTGTCTTCGATACCCGCTCAATGATGTTAATACAGGTTATTCTGCGGGAGTTAGGAAGCTATTTGAGTTGTGTGAATTTTCAAACAGTAGTTTGGAATAATACGCTATTCGATATTCGCTTCAACATGAAGCGCGACAATAATATTTTTCGAAGTGTTGATCCAACACCACATAGACGGCTATAGTCCATTACAACTCAAAGAGGGACAAGGAAAAGGAAGGCAGGGGAGGAGGAAGCAGACAGAACGCTGGAGAGAGGAGGAGGAGGTTTCCTCTCTCCTCCAGCATTCCGTCTGCTCCCTCCCCCGCCTTCCTTTCCCTCGCACTACCTTTTTGAGTTGCAATGGACTATACGCCTGCACATTACGTCATCATTAGAGGCGTCCCCGACCCGCCCAATGTGGCAGACACACCGACGCTCACTGAGAGCCGTGGCGAAACGGTAGGCATGTCTGTCTTGGCGTTGCCGCCCGCCAGCGTTGCGCTTGTTGCAAGTTGCTGCTTGACTTTAGTGTGCGGTGATGCCACGAGGAACGCGTCTGCTGCTTTGCTGTGATTCTCGTCAACTTTCAGTGTGTTTGCCGCTTGGGAAGGATCGAAGACCCGCTAGCGATGATGTAATGGCAGGCCTTGTCTTCTTGGTGGTATGAAACCGTTAGGCTGGGCCAGGGGGCACGCTGGAGTGATACCAGTGGCGCTGCACCGTGGTGCAAATTTGCCCTAATGCGATCTTCGCTCGTCCTGTTGCGCTGCCAGCGGCAGTGGCGAGCACCACGTTGCAATGTTATTGCGGCTTATTTTGTCTGTTTAAAAAACTGTGATTATTTTTTAGGGAGGCGAACCTCCGCAAGGGAAGGGTGCTTGTGTGTCAGGTCTCTGGAGTTGAGGAGATACTAATCCAGTCATAAGAGCATTCGTTGACAGCAAAATGCGTGTGCGTCCCCTATGACATCCGCCTCGAGATAAATGCTGTTTTTCTTTATGGTTTCGCTCACTCTTGAAAGTCGGCTACTATTTGGACAAAGATGAGGACGCTATATTGTTTAAATGGTCTTTTCGTGCATAGCTGCGCCGTCGCACACGCTGCTCGAACTCGGCGATTGCTCTTAGGAAGTCTGTGATACATACCAGCAGCTGGAATCGTGCCACGGCCGTTTTAATTCGTCCGGAATAAGTCAATGACGAGGCATGCACAGCCACAAAGTGGTAGAATCATAATTCAGCAATATGCGTCAGTAACCTGACCACTCATACTTTTATGAGTAAAAAGAGTGGTCACCGATGACTTACATTTGCGCCAATACTGTTGTCTTCTTTATTAACTTTTTTTTATGTGACCCCAGAATTATAATTTTGAACACAGTTGCGGCTGACTGTAAATAAGCTTTCTTGCGTGACTTTTTGTTTTGCTTGCTGTTTAGGCACAGTTATACTTGATATATTTAAAACCAGCATACACTAGAAAAGGATAGTCAATGCTATTCTCTCTTTCTGTAAAACGGTCATTAACTCTTAATTTCAGCCATAAATTTCTGGTTATATACCTTTTTTTACGTGTCCTGTCCTGACCTTTTTTTTGTTGCTTTCCTTTTATACATCTGACACTGCAAACATGCTCTTTTTGGTCTACCGAGGAATGTTCTAGTGTCAACATTTTTAGAGTTCCTTGAAAAATAATTATACTTGTTGTAGGCTAGCTACATCCTTTTAATAATATATAGAAAAGCTAGGGTGCAGCCATCAGTGTCAAATTATTTTTGAACCGTGCGTTCAAGTCAGTGCACAAAACATACTAGGTTGTCTCCCTCATTTTACCTCATGTCTTTCGCCGCTTGCTCACTTTCTTTTATAAACATCGGGAAACCGAAATTGGCAGATAAGCAAAGTGAGCTTGGTTTTCAAATTTAAATTTGTTTAAAAATAATAACTGCTGATGTGGGTTTCTTTTGTCGACACAGGGAGCCACCGTAGCTATTACATTGGGGACTTATCATAAAATTTCAGATGCTGATTGCGGGCTCCACCCTCAAAGTGACGGCGTCATCATCATCACACCTCACATCATCATCAACATCCAATGTGACCTCGCGCTTTGTAAAGTAATGTATCAAAGACAAAAAGGCAAAACACCAGGTCTTGTTGTGTAGTCAAATGCCACGGCATCATATTAGACATAAATGGAAATATAAATTTCTGCCTATATACCTTTTTGACGTGTCCTGGCCTGGCCTTTTTTTTTGTTGCTCTCCTTTTATACATCTGTACAACACCGTTTTATCATCCTTAGAAGTGGCGACGCAGGCCTTCACGGTATGGGCGACTTGCCTTTCTGCGGTGCCGCAACTCTCTTGAGCTACAATAAATATCAAATATCAACGCAAAACTTTTGCATGCTCTGGCGTGCGATGTACAAAAAGTCCCTATTAACATGACAACTTAGCATAGTTGCATTACGGAATCGTGCGACAAGATAGGGAAGCAATAATTAACGCTGCCCCACACAACTGGCTATTCATGCTTCTGGCGATCTTTCTTGAATCACCTCCCAGAAAGTAAAAACGCCTTTTGGGAGGCACATATTTCCATTTATGTCAAATATGATGCCGTGGCATTTGACTACACAAGACCTGGTGTTTTACCTTTTTGTCTTCGATACATTACTTTACGAAGCGCGAGGTCAGCACGATAAGAGCACCAGCCTTCTGCGTCGTCTGCTCCGCTTACGCCATAACTAGTATGGGCACGTTTTGCCAGGGGGAGGTGTGGCGCTGCGTATGCACGGCGAAACATCACTCACCCAGGCTTATGCGCCGAGTACAGTGGAGACACATAAGCTTATGCTTATGTGTCTCCACTGCACTCGTCGAATGCGTTAGCTCATGGAGCACCGGCATCAGGCTTTTGGCTCTCACATTCGAATGCGTTCGACGATGCAGTGGAGACAAAGGCAGCTAGCTTTGGTCTACCCTCTAGTCATTCCAACCAGAACTCGGCGTTCTGGTGTACCTGCGCGCTTTGGTCTCCTTCTCTCCCTCAGTTTCTGGGCGCATTGGTTGATCGCGGTGGGCTAGCCTCGTTGAGCGTGCTTCTTGCCAAGCACCGTTGTATTGTGGACAAGCAACACCTGTGGGGCTTGCTTTTGCAGGTGTTGCTTGTCTGTTGTGCACCGGTGCTCAGTTAGAAGTGCGTGCAATGCGGCTAACTTGCCACAATCAACTCTTCGAAAAGTATGAATATAGAAGTTGCGTGCTTGGTAGGAAAGCACACTTTCAAAGCAGTATGGTGCATGCACGTGCATGCCTGGTGTGCTTAAAAAAAATGGAAAACATTGTCAATGTTAATAGCTACACTACAGTAAAATTTTCAAAGTTAAACTGTGGCTATTTTTAAGAGTATATGCTAGGCATAGAGGTCCTGACAACTTTTGTTCATCATTGACAATTATATTTTTTCTTCTTTTTTCTCAAATTAGAGGTATAAGAAAGGATATTTGTTTACAGCAAGAAGGTTTATAAATCCCCTATATTAGGTATAGCTGGGCATCTCTACTTTTTACTCGCCATCCCAATGTAGGCATTGGACTTTCCGCAGCCAGAGTCCATGACCTGTAGCAGAACTGATGTCTGTCACGTTCAACCCCGCTGCCGTAGCACCGCCAGGATCACGGTGGGCCATAGCGGAACACTTCTACGGCATCGCCTGCCAGAAATCGAGCGACCATACTTTGGAATGCGGAAACACGTTGCTCGAAGACTTGCTCCCGGCACCCTACGAAAGCGTTGCCCACTCGGACTGCGCTGCAGAAGGCGTTTTTGTTTTCCCCCTTAGGTGTGACGGGGGCGGACATGAGCATCACGGAGAGCGGGGACGTGGAGGGCAACTACACGGTGCTGGCCTTCCTGCCCGTGGCCGGGGAGGATGCGCAGAGGGTGCGGGAGCGGCTGAACGCTGCCAGGGGGGGCGCCCAGAGCTTCCCCTTCCTCCTGCAGCCCGTGGGGGGCTTCAAGTACGTCGAGGGACACCTGGCCGTGAGTCAAATGAGAAGGTCACGAATTGTAGTGTAACTTGGAGAGTATAATAGCACGAACGAAGTGAAGGAAGTCAAATCGGTTGCCGAGATATCAGTTCCACGAGGAAAAAAGAATTCAAAAGATACAGCTCCGAGAAATGGTAGATGAAGTTATAGAGTTGCGTTAATATTTGAATTTTTGAATAGTAGTTTTGAATAATACACTATTCAATATTAGCTTCGAGATGAATTGGGGATATTCGCGGAGCGCGCTGGGCTCCACGGGTATTGCTTTTCCGCAGTGCAAAAGCACTCGGTGATAAGCACACTGAACGGGGGGAGCCCGCCACAGTATGCGGGGGTATGTTGAACTACCAGTTACGAGCAAGCGCTTGCCTGTCGTGTTCATTCTCTTTTTTGTTCTCGTCTTTTGTGCGCTTTCTAATCGGAACGAATACTTACCAACGAGCCCAGTTTTCAATCCGTCTACATTTCCTAATCTTTTACGCAGTACCTTTTCATCACAAAGGAAAGTTAGTCCAGTGATGTGATTGCTGCGCCAATTGCGCCAAACTGCGCCAAGGGGCTAACCCTGCTACATCCTGCTACATTTTGCCAAAATATGGGTAAACTGCGCCAAGCCTGCGCCAAAAGACCAATTTTGGTCGTCTTTCGAAACCGGAACTAAACTGAGTACCGTAATTGAGCATGTGTGAGCTAGGTAGCGCAAGCGGCTGCCCAACAAAAAGTACTACCCTCTATCAATCGTCCATCCGGGCTGCATAGTTTTTCCTGCCACCTCTCGTTTCACGCTCTCGTCGTTAATGTGTCTCGTCGATCGCGCCTTAAAAAAAAAAAAATCAACGATTGACGCGGGCGTGTGTTGACGCTTCAGTGCCTCAGTCATTGTACAAAGCGTTCCAAGTACTTTTTGACCCTGACTCGCGATGTCTTGTTTTGACCTGACTCGCTCAGGTTCTTTTTTTCTGTGTGTTTAGATTGTGCCTCGCCTGCCGGCCTGGCAAGCACGTGCCGCTGGACAGCTTTTTGTCGTATGCTGGACAATTACACTTTGCATACAATTTTGGGAACCAGTTGGCGACGGAGCGGAGTGGCATGGTGTCTGTTTCGATCGAACAGCCATCTCCGCTCGCGCGACGAAGCACGTGCAAATGCAAGCCTGCCGAAGTTGCCCTCATGTGCATGCGAACATGACTGCACGACAGAAGCACTAGCCGAGATGCTTGCAACCCATTGTTTTACGTTTGCTTACTTTTGACGAAAATCTGGCACGTCGGGAACCAGTAAAATGATGTCAAGCGGTTTTTCGGAATTGCTCGGCAACGCCCACAGCACTGTTCACTTGTGGGATGTCTCAATGTCTCTTTAAAGACATTGAAAGTGGGAATTCATTACTAGCCACAGGCAAAGTGAGGCTTGCAGCAGCGTTGTAGAAACTTTCGGAAGGCAAAAAGAAAAGCACCCACTAGTCTTAATGCACCTTTGTCTTGTGTACAATTTCGTATTGCACTGCAGTAGTTACGTGTATCATCAGTTGGAGACAGCTTCCATTTATTATATCATATAACTATGGTAGTCAACCTAATGCTGTGATATTTACTAATAAGCTGGTCATTTTCAAATAAATTTTAATATGTGCTGTTTGTTTCTTTTTTATCTATAACGGTACATATATATGTATAATTTAACGAAAGCATTGCAAAATGTGCCATGTCATTAGCATTTCAGTTACATGTTGAAAGACTCCCAGGTGGTCTAACTTGACCATAATTTGTTTATTGCGGCGAGCGAGGTGTCCTTCGTTCGTCCAGCACTTAAAACGAAAATATGTTTATTTTTCTAAGAATATCTGCTCCAAAAGCCACTTTTTCTGCTCTGAAACACTGTTTTGGCTGCTCCAAAAGCCACTTTTGCTGCTCCAAAACACTGTTCTGGCTGCTCCAAAGGCCAATTTTGCTGCTCCAAAACACCCTTTTGGCTGCTCCAAAAGGTGCTCCAAAACGGCTTAGGCCAATCACATCACTGTAGTCCGACAGTGCTTTAAGTCGCCATTTTCCGAAGATAGGGCATGGATTTGATCTGTCAATACGTGAAAATCTCGCCATCTAGCTCAGAACTGGAAGTGTTTATTTGCACATTGGTGCGTTCACATTTCAAATTATGCAAGAAAGAGTGAATGCTTACCGTATAATCACGTGTAAGGGCTGCACCTGTGTAAGGGCCGCACCCCCGTATTTAGGACAAAATATTAAAAAAAAAAATTGGAGAAATTATCCGTGTATGCGCCACACCCCCTTGTTTTTGAGGCACGCCGACTGTAATGCATGAAAGTTTCGATGAATATATATCGCTTGGTGGCGCTAGCCACCGCCCGAGCATGTAGCGGCAGTCTCCGCATCCCCGATATTTGCTCTCCACTCATCTGTATCACCGTATGGCACAATGGCTGCCGACCTCGATCGTGGTCGGCCGCTTCGTCGGGATGCATTTATGTTGCGGCCGGAAGACATTGAGAAAAGATGAAGGATATGTCAGCTTCCGTGGCAAGCGCGAGGAATGGGTATTCAGCGGGCTCGGCTCGCCCGTGCACTCACGTTTCTGAACGCCACTGTACGCTCTGGGGAGGTTTTTTTTTGTTCTTCGATTCGTGTCAAAGCGTCGTGATTTGTCTGCCTTTTCGCGCAATCAGAGCTTTGGGCAAGTACCACTTCAACAGTCGTACGGGATTCAAGTCGAAAGTTGCCGCGCATGCTATCAAGTACAAAAAAAAAAAAAAGATGCATATTGCACAGTATGTAAACTAATAAATCCGACTGACGATTCAGTCCGGATTCCGGAGTGACCGCTCATTCACACTGGAAGTGGATCCGCGTTCACAAAGCGGTTGTGAACGCGGTTGTATAAAGATCCAGTACAATTACACGCACTTGATGACATAGAGTGCGCATGCAATTGTACTGGATCTTTATACAATTGCGTTCGCAACGGCTTTGGGAATGCGGATCCGCTTCCAGTGTGAATGAGCGATGAAGGCGTTTTCGACCAGTGCAGTCAAGCGCGCGCTCATATACATTCATTTCAAGATGTGGATACACTTTTTTTTTTTTTATCCGTGTATGGGCCACATCTTGAAAATTTGCCCTCAAATCGGGAAAAAATAGTGCGGCCCTTACACGAGTTTATAAGGTACTTCTCTACTCTGTGGAGTTGGGTATGTAACAGGTGCTGCTTGCTTCCTATTTAACCCCTGTAATGTTCTCTCTCGTTCTGACACATTCCCAGGAGTTTGAGCTGAATGCCAACAGCACAGTGCTCTGGAAGAGCGGGCAGCCGCCGCTCCAGGAACCTCCTTGTGGCTACGACGGCTCCGGGTGTAATGCACCCTCTGGTAAGCAAGTGCCGCTCTGCACGGTCAACATGTATTGTATAAACAAGCGTAAGGTCCACACTTTTCGTTCCGATTTCGGGGCTCATTTTTTTTTAGATTTGGCCAATGCACGAACGAAAACAAAATAGTTTTGGACATGTATAAAAATATTTATGTACTTGCGATCACAAGCAGTGGTCTCAAGCGCCTTTGTTTCGGTCTCTATTGTTGTAACCCGCGGTATCCTCGGCGCTCAAGTCTGACCAATGTCGACAGTGGCCAGAGTTGCTCTTTTGAGCCGTCCAGTAAGTGCCTTTTCAGAGTTTGCATTAGCCATTTATATCGTGGAATTTTACCTCGACGTCCGTTTCGATGGTGATGTTGAGCGGCTGCAGCGTACCAATGAGCCCTCCTTGAATGGTGCGCTTTGTCCAGCAGTTTATGTGCATCTTGTCAACACTGCACTTGCAACCTGAAGCACGTCTGCCACACTTCAAGGCATAAGTGACAGTTCGAAAGTACTTGCCCACTGCTCCCAGGTTATGGGACCAACATAAACCAACTCAGCAGAACGAAACATTCACGAAGCCTAACGGTAACGTTCCAAGACCCACATGTTAGATTTTCCAGCAGTTAAGGCACATTCACACTGGTGACTAGCGACAGTCGCACGAGCGACTAGTGACAAGTGGCAAGCAACCACTGATTTTCACTATGTGGGTGATCGGCGAGTCGCTACTGGCGAGTTGCTTCTCGAAAGCTCTCGGACACCGCCGTTAATTCCATGCACCCCACCACAGCTGGGTTCTTCGGAACCGCACAAAGAAGAATAAAAAGCCTGCATTGTATACATACCTGTCAAGACAAAACTGGCATAAATTTGCTGCCAGGTTGAGTTTCTTTTTTGGGTGGTTTGTTGTGCCGAGACTTATGCTATCCTGCCTTCTCTCTGTGCACCCAAAACTCCACCTGAGACTGACTTCACAAACATCGTTAAGTTGGAGAACCACTTCACACGGTAGCCCTCGGAGATAGCGGAACAGTTCAAGTTCCACAAATAGGACTCAGCGTAGCGACGAAGCCATGACTTTATTTATCGCGAATCTACGCTGTATTTCAGTCACCTACAACTTCGGAGACACGCTTAAGAGCAGGATTGCTCGATCAGATTGTCTGTGGGGTGAAAGATGAAGCCTTGCAACAGCGTCTGCTGAGTGAATCCAAACTGACACTGGTTTAAGCAGAGAAGATGGCCATCGCAGCGGAATGTGCAAAACAGAATGCCGTGGAATTTCTAACTACGTCCAAAGACGTCGGCAAAATCCACAGTGTCCCTGAAGACAGACCTGGATCATCAATGCCTGCACGAGGCCTTGTGAGGCCTACAGCTAAACAAGAGGTTTCTTCCTGATATCGATGTAATGGATCACACCGGTGAGAAGACTGCAACTTCACAAACACCATTTGCCATTTTTGTGGCTTCAAGGGGCACATCATCCAAGCCTGTCTTCAAAAGAAGGCAAAGACACCCTAGCAAAGGCGCAGCCCTGCTGCACCCTGAGCAGGTCAAGAGGAACTGTCCCAGTTATTCTTTAGCATTAATTGTCTGTTGCAAAATAAGTACTGAGGGAAGCCCCATTGCCTAATTCCCTGAAAGAAATGACGTCTCTGCGCCACTCGGCGAACCCAAAACCAACATCATAACCTGATCCCCGAGACACTAGCGAATAAAATAATGGATAAAGCAACACAAATTCTCAACGCTTCTTCCGTCGTCCTGCGTGCCTCAGCCCATACCTGGCTTGCATGTGACGCCATTGCATCTTACAGGCAGTCATTCCTACTTGTGCCTGCCGAGAAAAACAATGTGGTGGTGCGAAATGCATGGTCCAGAGTCCAGAAGGTACGAGCTCAGCAACAAAACCACCACAATGGCCAGTGGTGTGACGTCGGAGCGAGCCATGTATACGGGGCTTACGCCGACGTCACAATAGCCGACATTGGGGTGGCCTTCCTTCCGAGTGCGTACCTTCTGGAGCATGCATTTCGCACCTCCTATTTTGTTTTTCTTGGCAGGAACAAGTGGGAATGACCACCAGCATTGCGCGATGACTTCACATGCAAGCCATGTGTTGAACACTGAGCATTACATAGTTTTTTAATAGCTGGAGCCCCTTCTAATTTTGAGGTTTGTGACCGGATTGAGCTGAGCTTTGAGCCAATGTTTTGCCTTACTTGCAGACAACAGGCGGCAGATTGTGGCGAGCATCCTGGGTGTCCTGCTGGTCGTGGTGTCAGTGTGCACTACCGTGGTGTACAGGTATGCTTCCGCTTCCTTTGCATTTGAGGTCGTAATGCAAAACGTCAGACACGTATCCGTTTCACAATACAAGGATACGATACTATGATACAAAAACCATACCCACCCACTGCTTTCAAAACAAAACATTTGAAAACTAGCCAGAGGATGCGCCAAGTGCCCACCCCTGACTTCTGAGCCACCTGTCTTTGTGAACAAATGGGGGACTTCGCTGCAAATAATAATTGGAGGCATCTCAATGAATTAAAAATTGTAGCAAGCTGAAAAACGATATGGCAAAACGTGCCACTGTGGCATTGTTTGCCACGCAGCAAAAGTTTGTTTTGGTGAGCTCGTTGTCTCTTACAGATAGGTCCCCTCGCCAAGAAATGCTTTCAGAATTTCGCATTGCAAACTTTTCCTTTGCCGAAAAAGCAGCCATAAGCAGCAGTCTTGTAATACCATATAAATGCCTACAAAGGTCCATCCTTATTTAAAAACCCACAAAACATGAGGACAGAGTATGAAAACACGTAAGAGAAACGATCGGCATTTGTTTGTCGTACGTGGTTTCTTAGTCTGTCCTCGTCTTTTGTGCGTTTTTAAATTGGGATGAATAACTACCAACAAGCCCAACTGTCCACCCTTCTGCAAGAGTCACACTTTTTTTCTTCACAATTCTGGGCAAATTTTTTAGGTACGGTCCATACGCGGATAAAAGCAAAATAATTCTGAATGTGCATAAAAAAAATGAATGTACTTGCAATTGCATGCAGTGGTCTAGAGCACCTTTATTTTGTTCTCCATCGTTGTAACCTGCGGTATCCTCGGTGCTCGCGTCTGACCGGCGGCAAGAGTAGCCAGAGTTGCTCTTTTGGGCCGTCCAGTAAGCGCCTTTTCGCGGTTCGTGTTCACCATTTATTTTGTAGAATTTCACCCCAACGTTTGTTTTGATGCCGACGTCGAGCAGCTGCAGCATACCAATGAGCCCACCTTGAACCGCATGCTTTGTCCAGCATCATACGCAGATCTTCTCGACACCGCATATTCACGACCCGCTGCACGTCTGATGCACTACAAGGCATACGCGACAGTTCAAAAGTACTTTCCCACTGCTATCAGGTTATGGGGCCCACATAGACCAGTTAAGCAGAAGAAAACTTTCACGAAGCCTAACTGGCCTTACGGCCACGTTTTGAAGCCCGAGTGTTCGATTTCACAGCAGCTCATTGGTGGAAGTGTCTGGCTCCACAGCATACGGGTGTACGGGTGGAAGGCGATCATGGATGACACAAAAACTATAAAAAGAGAGCTATTTTGCCTTGTTTCTTTCTTTCTCTGTTAATTTCTGTAAGTTCAAGCTAACCCTTCATTAATATATACCAGCCAGCTCCACTGAAGCCTGTAACTAAGGAAAGGCAACTGGTCGAAGCAGCGTGCTATCGCTGCTGTTATGATTGCGCGATAATTGCCAAGAATAGTCTAGAAGAGAAACAGAAGTAAATAAATTGCTAGGCAATTGCTTTGGGTAGTTGAAACGCTCTTGCACTACAAGCGTTTAGCAATACTCCGAGTTGCCAGACGCCTACGTTCGCAGTGCACTTCACCAGATAATTTAAATCCTGGTGTAGTAATCTTCATCTTCATTGCCAAAACATTGTAAATTGAAATGAAAGAAACCCACAAAAATAGGGCAGGCCCACGCGGGCCTGCGGGAAGCAGAGATGGTCTCGCCTGCCAAAGACGGCAGTAGTCGGCGCGATCCAGGGACCAGCACACCCACGCTGGAAAGAAAGGGACATTCGAGTCGGTTGAAAGTTTGAGCCCCACACTTTCGGTTCGCAGCATGGGGCCATGCTCCCTGGGGCGAGGGTGGACGTGATGGTGGGTGGCGCCATCAAGGTAGTGTAGATCACTTAAACAAAAAGTTTGAAGTACTATATGTGGCATGTGTACACTTGATAGTTGTTCCTAGAATGAAGTGATAGTACCACTAGTAGGGCGGATAATGATAAACCTGGCAATCTTACAGAGCCTTTCATACTCTCGAGCCCCACTCCCTCAGTGCGCACAGGTGGTGGAGCTCCTCCACGCCTACCTCACTCCTCCTCACCTACCCCTTTGGTCACATGACCTCCCCGTTAACCAGTCAGCATCGAGCAGCTCACTCCTCCTCTCCCACCTGATTACGATAATAATCAGTGTCGAGCCTCGCTGCCACCCTTTTATCCAGCATTCACTTTTATCTGGGTTTCACGAAATGCCAAACACCTTGCCAAAGTATGTTTCTCGTTAAAATGTGTGACAGGGTGTCAACTTGCTATCTGCCAGATGCAGTGTGGATGCCTCGCTGGGCTTTTCCTCCAAATTCCACCTCAACTCATGGTGATGTGTCGTGACATGCTGAAAAGACACTTGCTTAGCAATCTATGTGGTCTGGGTTCAATTACCTGCCTGGTGCAAACTCTTTTTTTTTACTGCGATGGCCTTTTCCTCCTTCCCACTTAAAAAGCCACGCTTTTACCAGGCTGCACCTTTATCCAGGCTTCACGAAATGCTGAACATCCAGCCAATAGACGTTTCATGCTAGGACAGCTTTCCGAAGCTTTACTCCAGTAATCTTTCTTATCTTCGTTTCAGAACACAGCAAAATGTGAGAGCAGATGTTTCAACATGGTGGGGTAAAGATGGCAGAGATGCGGAGTGCACGCCACGCTGCAGAAGCAGTCGGCGCACCTCGAAATAAAAGTGGGGGGATGCAGCTAATACACAAATAGTTTTTTCGATATTTTTTTAAATATGTTTTAAATATGGGGGTACGGCCCTCACACGAGTGCGGCCCATACGTGCAGTTATACAGTAACTCGGCACGAATGTGTGTTTTGAGTAGATCTGATCCGTAGAAAAAATTTCTCATTGCACATTCCCTGGGGCAACAGTCGTGTTGCTTGTGTGCACACTGTACGGCAGTCTTTAGGGTGGGAGTCCTTAATAACAAAATGCTCGGTTTATCTTGATTCTACGTACAGACAAAGTCAGTACACAGAGAATGTGTTTCTGCAACATTCTCCGGGCCTAGTGCTGGACAGTGCAGTTTTTTAGTATATTATCTTATTCCGAACTCTCTCCCCTTTTGTGTGATGCTGGCTGGGCACGTCCACCAACTGTTTGATTTCAAACAGTTGATGGAGACCACCATGGTAACGACAAAGTTGGCTGGCTTTGCGTCTGTCGAGCTAACAATCATGGGCTCGTTGGATCGATGATCGTTGAGGCACGTTTAAAATTTTGTTTTCTTTTCCTCATTTTCCACTCTTTAGCACAGATTCGGATCGTCCTCTGAAGTATATGTTGCACGTTTCGTAACGTTTTGCGTGGCGTTTCGTCACACTTTCCTCGGGGATCTTGGCCCCTGAACACGTTCTGCGTTAAAAGACTAATGACGCATGGGTTTCTGTGTATAAGAACTGGCTTGCCCATTTGCGTTTGTGCGAGCTCGAGCAGTTTGCACAGCCTCGTACTCCCTTGCGACAAGAGAACGCTGGAGAGCCTGAAATACGGAAGATTTCCAAGTGCTCGAACCATTTGCAATGCGACCTGCAAAAAGGAGCCAAAAGTGTTGATCGTCTGCCAACATCTCTTTCTTTCTGCCTGCTTTCCTCCTCGCCGTGTGAAAACGCGGCGCAGACGCGCTTGCGGCATATCTCTGCAGGAGGCGTCTGCCATTAAATTGCGAGAGCTCCCCATGGTCTGAGATGAACCCTAGCTTCCTTCAATCTAGGCTATCTAGACAATGTATTGGCACACTGGCACCATCTATGAGGCTGCCCTGGAACACTTCCAACCCACATTTATATTGTTATCATTTTTGACTCATCATGCACCCTTGGCTTGAAATGATCCTGAAAATGTTACAAGTGACCGTTTCTCAAAGATGGTGTATAGATTTGATCTCGGAAATGCTGCAAAGCCTTGGGTCGAGTTATACCTAGGTTGGACGTGCCAAAGAGGTGCTGCCTGCCCTTGTTCCTAAGTGCTTTCATATTCTTTCTGCGATTCTTACGTTTTTTTCACCTTCCCCTCTTTGTTCATTGTTTCTTTGTTTAAGAGCTACTAGTTGTTGGTAGCGTTCCGTGTTTTAGGGTTTTATATTTTTACAAATTTGGGAGGGGGGTTGGTGTTTTATTTTTTCCATCAGATTGGGTGTTTTTCGGTGTCAAGGTCATAGAAAGAAGTAGGTGTGCGTCGGAGCTTGTCTGAGGAAACTGGCAAAGGAAGACTTAGGCATGATCCAAAAAACTTGGAAAATGTCTTTTTACCAATAAGAGAAAATGAGACGAGGGCTATGGTTCACGAAAAGTGAAGCAACCTCGCAGGCAGTTTAGCCCAGGCTGTGTGATCAGGCTCACCACAAAATAAGGCTGCATGAATTTCTTTCTACGAGGCTTGAGTTTTTCTTATTGAAGGACAGCTCCGATTCGGGTTTTCTCAGTTTTTTTTCAATTTTGGTAAAACCGGTTTGGGGGTTACTTTTCATGGTTTATTAGTGTAGCCCAAAAACACAATGTCTCAGTCATTAGTTTGGTACGCAAAAGAGTGGGCGAGGAAAAGACTTCATGCTGGAAACAGTGCAAACAGAGGTGAAGACGATCGAAGAGAATGGACAGGACCAACTGTTGACTGACAACTGAAAGTTTATTTTGAAAAGCAACGCATAAATCATTTCTGCTACGGGTGGTTCTGTGTCGGCACAATGTGGTCAAACACCTCTATAACGAATTTGCGGGACCGGTAAAACTTTTCGTCGTACTAGTCCCTTCGTTGTAAGGCTTGAGAACTAAAAAATATAATGCAGCCATCACATAGTGCTGCTCCTGCATGACATCGGGTGACTTCTGTTACGTGTAACTCACTTTTTCATTTACAGCTGTGAGTTGCGCACAGTTCGCGTGTTGCATGAAAGCCTGTGCCAGGTGGAGAAATTTTCAAACCTACTCACGTATGCTTTCAAACCTACTCTCGTATGCTAGTACCGTTGACAGCTCTGCACACAACTTTTAAGATGTTCAACTCACAGCTTACACGCAACTTGCTCGCTTACTTACAGCTTGTGAGTTGTACGGAACTTGCATGTTGCATGAAAGCCTGTGCAAGCAGAAAAATTGTCAAACCTGCACTTGTTACCGGTATCGTTGAGAGTGCTCTATGCAGCCCGTGAAATTCGTGAAACTCGCGAGTTTCGTGCAATCCGCTCGTTTACTTACTGCTCGTGAGGTGCACGTAAGTCGCACGTTGCACGTAGCTTGTGACATTGCTTTGCATTATCCTGTCCGAGCAAACCTTCGTAGGGTCCGGTGGTGGAGACGTTTCTTCGGTACGGGGGTATTTTTGCGCAGCTGATGTTGCTCCAACCAAACTGAGTGCATGGTTTTGGTGCAGGAACTGGAAATATGAGCAGGAGATTGCGGGCCTCCTGTGGATGATTGACAGGCGGGACCTGGAACCACTCTCCCACTTTTCTGGCCCCAAGCACAGCATGAGCAAGGTGGGCGCATGCATTACGCAAGCTTTTGTGCACGATTTGCTGTGCGATGCGCATCGCGGGTTAGTGGTCGTTCTGCGGGCTAGATCTACCCCTGCGGTCGACGCGTGAGTCATGACACTTTAACGTGGAGCAACTCTTAAAAGCATCCATGACAGATTTTGCCTTTACTTTCTGATTATATTCTGTTTTAAGTGTAATTGTAAATGGTTGAATGGCAAAACACTGATCTTAGAGGTTATGTCTCTTCACTTTTATTAATTTAAATGAAACCACAGATCCTTCCACCGTATTTGTGCTTATTTCGAATACCTGGTCACTTTTTTAATAACCCGCTTAGTGGCCAAGATAGCTAGAAATATCTGACCTGTTTGGGGAGCAATAGAAAAATTTTGTTTAACAAAGTTTATTAATAACTTGTTACTAGGTACTTCAGATACTACAGTGGAATACAAGAGGTAAAGGAAGCCATATATAGTATCTCAAACATGTCAACGCAGGTACCCCACATAGAAATGCTTCCAGTCCAGGCTGTGTTATGGAACCGGAAATCGACTACGGCTAGAGCTGGAAATATATTTTACTAGCCGAATTCCAGTCCGTTTCCACCCAGAAATGGACAAATTTCTTGCTGGAAATTAGATTTTTCTTCATTTAGCTGGGAAATTTACAGGAGGATCATGTACTTCCAAGGTGAAATTTCTGATTTCCAGCATGAGCAGCATCCATTTCCAGCTGTAAACATGATTTCCAGCTGCTGCTGTATAATATCTACAGCTTATTTTCATGTGTGTACTCTTGAAATTAGCAGAATCATCCCTCTGAGTTGCAGGACAATAAGCATTTTTTCTTTCTTGCACAGGCCACTCCTGGCATTCAGATTTGCAGTTTTGTTTGCTTTTATGAAATATGATAAATAGATTACTTATACATTGTATACTGAGTTGGAAGAATTTGCGTTGTTTGTCTAATATTCTCAGTTGTCGTACGTGGCACGATAGGTTCCTTTTGCATTTTATTTCACAACTTCTTGCATAGTCTGTGTATTTCCATGCACAAAATGGCGTACAATATTACTGATTTTCTTCTAGTTTAAGGAGGGCATGCTATTTCTTAATTTCCTCTATTTGGCATGTAAGGTTACAACAAAGATCGCTCCATTGCACTTTGTGAGTGTGACTTAAAGGGGTACGGAAACAAAAATTGAAATATTCGGATTTCGTTCGGAAACGAGTCAAGCATGACGTATAATAACCGTAAATGATAATTGCGCGTTTGTATTTTGAACGATTGGCCATATTTTTCGTTCCAAACTGTGCACTCGAGCAAGCGCTCGAAGAGAAGCGAACGGAGAGCGCCATGCGTCATGGGATATCCGGCGCAAACAAAAACAGAAAGAAAAGATTTCCCGCGTTCGTGGAGTAGCAAGGCAGGCGTGGTTATGAGCTTTGCCCTTGGTGGCGTTTTCAGCGTTGTGGTGGTGTCAATAGCGTCAGCACGTTACAACTGAGCCGCTCGAAGTGCCCGTGGGGTGACGAGCGTGTGGCTGGCCCAAGGAGCACGTAGCTTCCACAACACTGTCAGCTTAGGGCTGAACGAGGTGGGGAAAGCAACTTTTGTTTGAGTTTTGAGCGACGTGCTAATCTTCTAGGGGGAGAATGGCTGTTTCCGGTTGCACGAACGAGGGTCCGAGAAAGAGGGGAGTCCTTCCTTTCCGTCTTCTTGAGCCGTTTGGTACAATGCGCGACTTGTGAGTTGAGGAGGAAAGCTAAGAAGGAAAATGTTGAAATACCAAAGAGCGGCGCTGCTCCGAAGGAAACTGCTACGTCACGACTACGTAGCAGTTTCCACAACGTTGCTAGACTACCTCCCAAATAGGCTCCGCATGCATCCACCAGGTGCACATTGAAGATCGTTTATTTAGCTTTAAAATTAGTTTTCTTGTGCTTTTCAACGGAAGACTGGTGTTGTTGAGGTTAGGGTGCAACATGCAACACATTAAAGCCAGAAAATGAGTGCTGAAATTTCGTTTCCCTACCCCTTTAAAGGACACATGCAAAGGAAAAAAAACATTTTTTTTAAACAGCTTAGATGGAAAAAGGATGTCGTAAAACGATTTTACAACGAAGAAAAAAACTTTTAGAGCTATATTTACGGCGCTATACGAATTTGTAGTTGGCGCTCGCGGGAGCTGCCGCTGGTCACGTGGTAGGCCCGCGCGCCGCCGCGCTGCGTCGCCACCGCACGCTGAGCGTTGTGCGAACGCCGCTTCAACGCGTTTCTCCACGCCGCCGTCGCCGCCGCCGCACAAGTTCGTCTGCTTCGGGGCGCCGCCGCCGTCGTCTGACCGGCGCACAGGTCTATCACATCTGCTTGCGCTTTTTCACGAGTTTCCTTTGGGCTCTAAAAGTTACTTATTTATCTTAGTTTTTTGTTATACTTCAAACAAAGATGAATAAGTTACTTTTAGAGGCCATAGGAAGCTTCCGAAAGAACGCAAGCACCACGTGATAAATAAGGACCAGTCACGTGATAAATATGGACCACTTTTCTGCGGTGCCCGCGGGCGCCAACTACAAATTCGTTTTGCGCCGTAAATATAGCTCTAAAAATTTTTTTTCTTCGTTGTAAAATTGTTTTATGGCGTCCTTTTTCTATCTAAGCCGTTTAAAAAAAATGTTTTTTTCCTTTGCATGTGTCCTTCAATACGTTTTGGCGAGTGCCCCCGATACAGTCCACTCTCTCGGCGGCGACTCAAATGAGACTAGAGTCTGGGGTCAGTCAGTCACAGCCTCAGTCAGGGGGATGAGTACTATATACCGTCATGAGTGCGGGGGCAGTGCAACAATTTTCTGACTTTGGCCAATTATCCCCCGACTTCAGCGGCTTAAAGGGGCAGCGTAGCAACTGCGCAGCCTCCACCACGCGTTGGGAGCGGCCGATGCTCGGAAGACAGTAACAACAGCAATGTAGAAGGTGGCCCGCTCCAGAGCACCACGACGTCCCTGGCTCCACATGCAGCCGAGCAGCGAAAGGAACATGTTGTCGGGTGCTTTGTGATGCGACAACAGCACTTCAGATTTATTTTAATACTTAGTATATACTATAACCTTGCTAGAACAGATCTGGTTAATTCGGTTATAACATACGGACTTGCGAAGTTTTGGCTCGTCTTCCTATTTATGCCATTCAGCCGACGTCGCTTATTACAGGTTTCGTTACAACATACGTTCGGATATATTGGACTATATTGGGAGTTTGCAAGTAGTTTGCATTTTCATTACAACAGACTCTTCAACAGCAGTCCGTGTTTTGGACATCGCTTGGCCTTGGTTTGGTGGTAGTGGCATCCATTTTGTAAACTGCTGTCATCGTGCTCGGCGCCTCCTGAGGCTCGTAGGACTCAAAGCACACCGTGATAATGATCATCGGTACAGCTCAATAAAAGATAACCACAAAATTTATTTTTTATTTTTTGCCAGGCAATTTATTATGGTGTCAGAAGACTACCCAATCAATATTTTGCTACAGCGTCACATATATTTATAATAAAGTAAAAAAACGCAACTGCTCGAAAATGAAACCGAAACTGGACTGGGGAGGAAGAAGAAATATAGAAGAAGAGAGAGTTGGTGAAATTCACGTGGCTGCGATACTCTTTCCTTCTCAAAAAATGCATTTGCAACTTTCTAGAAGCCACAAAAAATGGGTGTCGTATTTCTTTTCTTTCTTTAATATTGTTTGTGTGCCTTAGATGACCTACGACTTTGATTAAATTTAGTGGTCGTGTCTAAACCTTAGAAAACGGTCCTTGACCACGGAGAAGAGAGTGAGCACGACTCAAACCATTCTCGACCAATATTTTTTGGGCAGAAAGAGACCGAATTTTGAGCCGCAAATTCTGTGCTGGGTAGTGGGGCTTTCATATGTCATGTACAACAAACAACCTTGGCGAGCACAAAAACCTTTAATATTCATTCACATTTCATCAGTCTCACATTATTTGAACATACTCCAGTCATAACCCACTTCAAAGTATATAGTAAAAGTACCTGCATTCTACATAGTATACTTCTTTTACAACAGACCAAAATCTAGGTCTGTTATAATCAGAAACGTAGCTTACCTCTAATGAATGGACGATGACGGGGATTGTATTCGTTGAAAATAAATATCCGAGCACCACTGCAAACTAGTAAATGAAATTACAGATGTGCGCCTGTGAGACTCGGTTTTTTGTGGCATAGTGCAGTTGTTGGTTGATTTTTGTTTCTTTCGCTTGTCAGAACTTGCTACTCTGCAAACATGAAAATGTCTAGGTGATATGGCTGCTTGTTGTAGTTTCTCTGTCCGTGATTGCTCAATGAATCTTAAATTATTTGATTATAGCGGACTTTTTAAAAATGGGTTCGATTTGCGGGCAATGCGTTACGCTATTTTATGAGATAAAGTATAGGTCTTCTCAATTTGATCACAAACACGAATAAGAAAATCTATTTAAGGGAAGGTTGTTTGAAGGTGGGTGAGAGATGCAACTTAAATAAGATGTAACAGTTATGTCAAATGCTTTATATACATCCCTGTTGCTTTGCATTGCCATGCTTCCTGCTTGCTTGCTACATCCATTGGTCATGTCCATGAAAAAACTAGAGAAAAAAAAAAAGAAACACTAATGTTTTATTTATTTATACATACTGCAGGCCAGAAATGGCCCGAGCAGGAAGGGTAACACACAGGTGGAAACACACTCATTATAAACACAAAAGCTGCTATAACTGCCTTTTAAAAGGGTAAAACAGTGCAAAAAGACATGGACTGGAAGAAGTACACAAACAGAGCACTTCTTCCTGTCCGTGTCCTTTTGGCCTGTTTCACCCTTTTAAAATGCATCACCAACTCGCACAACTCACCACCATATTGCTATAACTGATCACGTCATATGATTCAGACTCATTAATTACACTCATGAGTGCACTTGGCACTCGCACTCTACCATTTGTGCC